GTTTGAATTCCAATTTGAGACTTTTGTCCTTCTTTTACATATAAAAAAAAAAACATGCATTCAGCATAAATCAGGCAGAAGACATAACATCGCTGGTCATTCCTGAATGACACTGTCATAAATTACTTTCTCATTATATAAGTGAGAGGTCAAGATTGAAAAGATAAGCAGATTTATTATCAACAGCAAAGACTTATCTTTTCAACAGCAAAAGATACCTTGAGTTACACAGCAGCTATGAAAAAAAGACAATTTCATAAACTAAACATTTTAATTTGACCAATAGAATCTCTCAACTGGATGAACTTAAGGTTCAATGCTGTAAGTTTTTTTTTTGTTGTAATTATCAATGAATCTATGTGACCTGTCACCCAGTTTTTGTAGTACAAGTACTAGTAAAAGTCATCTCTGTTCCTAGAGAAACTGAGGGCAAGTCGTATCATGCCCCTCTCAGCTTTCTCCTAATACATTTCTCAAGGGTTGGTGTTACATTTTTCTCATAGACTCTTTGCCAACATGGCTTGGTCTAGACCTGTTTATGTTTATTTTCCACTTCATTCCTCTCGTATGTATGTTTGTGTTCTTTGCTGCAGTATTTGATCCCATCCGTTTGATTCAGCAGTCTAGATGAATTTTTTAAAGGGAGAATAAATTGGCAAGGTCAGCGTTGAAAGATATCGTGATCTATCCAACACCTGTGCTAATGACAGGAGCGTGAAGAGCTTTGAAGAAGGTATAAACATGAATTTTCACAATTTAATAAAAAATATTGTCATTTTTAAACCAATCAATATTACCTGTCTAGCAAAGTCCAATCAGTTTTTTTTCCCACAATATAGATGGAAATCGGTTTGCAGAATGGATGGATGGACATATATTTAATACCTGCAGAGACTTTAAGAAACCTAAATCTCTAGAAACCTAAAAGGTGGATGGGTCAAATGACCATGTTTTTCATAAATTTCTTGTAATGTAATGTCATAATGTCTTGGAAGTTTCTCACGGATCCTTGTCTGTAGAATTCATCAAGAGTCTTTTTGCTTACTCTCTTTAAAACCAGAAGGTTGGGTTTCCTGCAATTTTCCCAAGGAAATAGTAAGAGTGTGAGATCTTTGCACTGTCTAACTGCCATTTGATAGGAGGAGCTTGCAAATGTCTTTGTTTTTTCAGTCTTAATTCTGTATCACTGGGATCGCTGCTGACATATGAAAATTCTGTCTGAAAATTATTAATGAATTGGCACATAAAGAGAACAACATTTACTGTTAATGTTTGCCAAAGATTTATCAAGTAATCTACAAAGAAATACATATTGTTTTATTCCCCATAACAATGAAATCATGACATATTTTTGTCCCTATGGCGGTTGTAATAGTGCTTACAATAAACAGTACATCTAGCTTAGTAATGGGTCTCCAATGCACACTTCTGCATGGACTGTAATCTGAGCATTTTAAGCAGGTATTTAACTTTGACATGTTTCCCTGCTTTCTCATCCTGCAGAGCGAAGTGTCAAATATTGTCCCCCTCCAGCTCACACTTTTCCTGCTTCTCCTCGACAGTCACACCTTGTACTGTACCTTCTTCCATATCTCAACATTTGTGCAGACATGCCTTTGGATCCTGTTAGGCAGATTCAGCGGCACCTTAAAGGTAAGCAGAGGCATCTTGACAGTACGATGTGTCCTGAGGAGTCATGCACAAAAATTTGTGCACAAAGGTAATGTTCACAAAAAAAAAAAAAACACTGAATGCAGATGTCTTGGTTTGACTCGCTCTTAGTACTTTTTATGGTTGGAAAACACCCATTCACCTCTGAGGGTCATGACCCCAAAACCCACAAATATTTGTCTTGCTGTTAGATTTCTTGTACTTTAAACATTTGAATTATGACCGAGCTTGTGTAAATTATGTCTTGCTAGCATTAGAGCAGTAATTATTACAACTAGTAGTAGCAACACCTAGGTTGTGGGTTAAATTCCCAGGGAATGCATGAACCGATAAATTGCTAGCTTTGAGTCCAGTGCATGTCGCTTTCAATAAAAGCATCTCCCGAATGCATAATGCAAATAAAAATAAAGGGCTTGCACAGATGTGTAAAGTGAACCTGCTTTAAAGCTATAGCTCACCCAAAAAAGTTCATTTACTCACCTTCATGTCGTTCCAGATCAGTATGTCTTTCTTTCTTCCGTTAGGTAGTAGTGAATGATGAATGAAGGTGAATGATGGCCAGGCTCAAAAATGACAAAAAAAAGCAGCAGCATAAAAATAACATAATTGTAAAATAACATAATAATCCATACAACTTCTGAGCTATATCTCAAATCTTCTGAAGCCACTATGAGGAGCAGACCAAAAACCTTAATCACTGAAAATCTTGCACAATCTGTGGAGCAGCCTTCCATCATTGTACTTTATTGTGTTCATACTTACTTTTTCTTGCTCATTTTGTAATGTTTATTAGGAGTTTGCTGTTTTATATTTCCTGTTTTAGCAGACTGGATTGAGCCTTTACAATAGCGCACCTGGTGGGAAGCACTCATTTTAGTGGGTTATCCATCATTGTATTCATTTTTCTCTCTCTTGTTCTTGACAATCATTATGTTGGTTAAACAGAGTGAGACAAGAGTTAATTTTATGTAAATGTATGTTCCAATTGGTAAAAGAGGGAAAATGTGTTATTGTTAGTGGACGGATTGTGTTTGGTTTAAATTAAACAAGGTTATTGCTGCTGTAACGGGTATTTAAAGTTTGTGTTCTGTTTGGGTGAGGCTTTGTATTATGTTACAGTTTTCAGTCAGTTGTCTTCAATTAGTTTCCTTGGTTTAAATCTGTTTCTATGGTTTTTCATGGTTTGATTAGGTTTTGCACCTGTGACATTGATTGGTTTTGTCTGTGTATTTAAGTTCCGTGTTTTCCTCTGTTCGTTGTCTGTCTTCATTTGATATCATTGGGTTGTTCTGTTTGTGTTTTGTCAGTTCTAGTCACCTAAGTATTAGTGATAGGAAGTTCAGATCATTTCGCATCATTTCATCCTGTTCATCAAAATGAACAAACATTTATTCAAGTCATTTCGTTCATTTAAGTGGCTTTAAATTTTATACTTTTAACAGCCAAATTCCCCAAACAAATCCACCTACGCAATCTTGATCATATTCTGAATTAAGAAATCATTAGAATGCAGCTAAAGATCATTTACAGGGCACATAAATAATTACTTTACCTTCCGAGTCTTTCGTTTATTTGTCACGTGACAGACACAATGACTGAAATGTTCATGAATGCCCCTTCACTAGTATCTTTTTGAGCTTAAGATTTGCTTCGCTTAGATCCTGGCCTATCATTTTTGCCTGTTGCTGAGGTCTGTGCTAAATTGGTGAAGCATAGTTATTAATGGCAACACAAACGAATGCAATTTTCAGTTTGACTGAACAAATGCAAACAGTGTTTACGAACAATAAAACCCATATGGAAGCAATTCAAAAGCATCAGTCACATTTTCACACACATACACACAACCCTCACCATCACAAAAAAATCACACACACACCTGTTTGCAAATGCACGTTCGCTTTATTGTCGTACCTGTTTGACTAGGAAATGTCATGTATAGAAGCTCTAAAGAAGCAGATTTCATGGTAGAGTGTGCGCAGAGCAGACCCTCATTAGGAAAGGTGTTAACTTGAGAGACAACTAAGCCTGCAGGTTAAGGATAACATCCTTAGATAAAATGTATCTAAAAGGTTAGATAAAATGATAACATCCACAGGGGATTTCTCCAACTTTCAGAAAACTTCTGGCTTTCTAATTCTAACTGACATTTTAATGAACTATAAAGAAGGAACAGCACTCTGTAAATGTTAGCATTTTAACCACTGTAAACAGGCTACAGAATTCTGCAGTTTTTTTTTTAATTGAAGCTACACAATCCAGCTAAAACAGAGGTTAATCTACACTCTTAATATTCAGTGATATTATAGATTTGACAGCACTGGCACTATGAGAACAAAACTTGAACTTATTTGAGCTGAATAATGACACTATTTTCCTCTGTAGAGCTGCTTCACTTTGCAACATCAACACAGTTATTGAACTGAATTGTATCAACACTGAACTGACTTGACTTTTTTTTGCTGAATTGTACTTTTTCTTAATGGATGAACTTGACCCAATTTTTGAACTGTACTGAATCAACACTGAACTGACTGGAGCTAAATATGACACTATTGTTTTGTTAGAGCTGCTTTACAGCATCATTTTGATTATATTTGATGATGTTTGCATCATTGATTCTCTTGGTTCTGTTTTCTGATTAATACTGTGAAGATGCTTTGAAACAACCTCCGTTGTGTAAAGCACTATATAAATAAAGGTGACTTGAATTGACTGAACTTAAAAATAAAGGTTCCAAAAGAGTTGCAGAAAATCCATAGAAGAACCACACTATAAATAACCTTCTGTAGAGTAGAAAGGTTCCATGGTTGTTAAAGGTTCTTAATGGAACCATAGATGCCAATAAAGAACCTTTATTGTTAAGAGTGTATCCCTTCACACTCTTAAAAATAAAGGTTCTTCATTGGCATCAATGGTTCTATGAATAACCTTGAACATCAATGGAACCTTTTAAATGCAGAAAAGTTTCTTTATAGTCGAAAAAGATTCTTTAGATTTTTAAAATGTTCTTCAAAATGGTCGTACAACCCCAATTCCAGAAAAGTTGGGATGTTTTGTGAAATGCCATAAATTCAAGAATATGAAAAAAATTCTAATGTTTTTACTGACCGTCTTAAAAATAAAGGTTCTTCATTGGCATCAATGGTTCTATGAATAACCTTGAACATCAATGGAACCTTTTAAATGCAGAAAAGTTTCTTTATAGTCGAAAAAGATTCTTTAGATTTTTAAAATGTTCTTCAAAATGGTTCTTTTAGGAACTGTTCACTGAAAGTTTTTTTTTTTTTAACCAAAAAAGGTTCGGCATCACTGCAAAAACACCATTTTGGAACCTTTATTTTTAAGAGTGCACAGTAGTTTTTTTCATATGAGCTGCCAAAATTCTGTACTAAATGCTCCTGTATATTAAGGAGATGCACAAAAAGAGTGCTAATGCGAATATCTTAAATATCTTCTGAAAAAAGCGAGGAGTTGCAGATGTAGGGTTCTTTTTGGCCCTCATCTTCTTCCAGCAGTTTCTCAAGGGCCAGAGTGCCCTCTGGGGCCTGGGGAGTCTCCACCTGCTGAGGCTCAGGTTCTGGTGAGATTACTGGCAAGGTCAGAGGCACTGGGAAGAACTGAGGGGTCGTCAGGGCTGCTGGCATCGAGGGGGCCTGCATGACGGAGCTGGAGATGGTGGATAAAGGCTGAGCCCAAGGAATGTATGTCAAGGAGGAGTCCGGGACCTCCACCTGAGGCAGGGATGAGCTGGAAGTGCTCATGGTCTAATAGGGAACCAGATAAGAGATGAGTTAGCATCTCCAGACACCGAAAATAAAAGCAGTGGCTTAGTGTCACTCTGTGGCTCACCGCAAGGTTAGTGAAGAGAGGTGTGTGTGTAAACGTCAGCATAGGGGAAGGGCCCACCACAGTGTAACTGGGACAGATTGGCTGGACATACATGTCTGTGTGGGGCGGGACGGCAGGGTCGTGGTGTTGGTCTGGAGGAGTCCAGTGACTCAAAGGCTGAAGGGCAGTTGTGCTGGTGGTCTGGGCAATCCATCCTGTGCAGAGCCCACCGACATCTACTAATGAATCATTTAGGCTGCTCTGGTTGGCTTCTACAAAGCTGGAAGACCCTTTCAGAGAGGAAAATAAGCATGAAAAATATTTGCATTAATCAGTGACCAAAAAAAGTTAATATGTTACTTACCAGCATGTGTGTATGATGGCAGAGTGTTGCTGGGAACCATCACCTAGAAAAAAGTATCCCATTTAATATAGTTTTCTCTTTTTTTGTATGAAACTATATAACAGCAAAAAATTATTATCTTAGTATTTTCATCTTTTCTAGTATAAATATCTAAATATTCTTGAATCAAGAGAAGCAAAATAATTTAATATTAAGTCTTGTTTTCTGAAAAATCTACCAAAATGATTTATGATTTAAAAAAATGAAAAAAACATCAGTGCAGTAAGAAAAATAAACTTAATTCAAAGGAAAAACAAGATTACTTTTTCTGACCCCATTGGCAAATATTTGTTCCTGTTTTAAGCATAAACTCACTTAATTTTAATTATTAATTTTGATAATTTTTCAGAAAACAAGACTTAATATCTTAAGTAATTTTGCTGCTCAAGTAAATGTATCTTGATTTAATCATTTTTAATGTTTGTAACAAAATTATTATGGTTAACTAATACTAAAACAATTAAAAAAACATTTTTGTTACTTGAAATAAAATAAACTTTAACTGAAATAAAATAACTAAAATTAAAATGAATGAATACTATATAGACATTTTTAAAAACAACTATTTTGTAAATATAAACAAATTTTGATTTTGATGGCTGCAACACACTCCAAAAAAAGCTGGGACAGAGGCACGTTTAACGCCGTGTCCCATCAACCTTCCTTTTAATTACAATGTTTCATTGTTTGGGAATTGAGGATACTAATTGTTAAAAGTTTTGCAAGCAAAATGTTTGTCCAGTCTTGCTTGATACAAGACTTCAGATGCTCAGCAGTCTGTGATTGTCGTTGCCTTTGTGGCTCACCGCAAGGTTAGTGAAGAGAGGTGTGTGTGTAAACGTCAGCATAGGGGAAGGGCCCACCACAGTGTAACTGGGACAGATTGGCTGGACATACATGTCTGTGTGGGGCGGGACGGCAGGGTCGTGGTGTTGGTCTGGAGGAGTCCAGTGACTCAAAGGCTGAAGGGCAGTTGTGCTGGTGGTCTGGGCAATCCATCCTGTGCAGAGCCCACCGACATCTACTAATGAATCATTTAGGCTGCTCTGGTTGGCTTCTACAAAGCTGGAAGACCCTTTCAGAGAGGAAAATAAGCATGAAAAATATTTGCATTAATCAGAGACCAAAAAAAGTTAATATGTTACTTACCAGCATGTGTGTATGATGGCAGAGTGTTGCTGGGAACCATCACCTAGAAAAAAGTATCCCATTTAATATAGTTTTCTCTTTTTTTGTATGAAACTATATAACAGCAAAAAATTATTATCTTAGTATTTTCATCTTTTCTAGTATAAATATCTAAATATTCTTGAATCAAGAGAAGCAAAATAATTTAATATTAAGTCTTGTTTTCTGAAAAATTTATCAAAATTTTGTTAGTTTTGTTGGTTTGTTAATTTCTTAAAGAAGAGAAAATATCAGCCAATTAATTTTTTTTTTTTTCAGAAATATATATATATACACATACACTGGGCGATAGCACATGCAGAATGAGAGCTGGCATTGTTTTGATCTAATAACCATGGACTTCCCATGAAAGACATTATCTTGATGGCAGTATATTTCTCTGTACAATTCCAATATATGCCTCCATGTCAATAGTACCTTCACACATATGCCATGCTGTTTGCTCTGCTGCACCCCATACCATGACAGATGTTTGCTTTTGCTTCTGTCGCTGATGAAAGTCTGGATGGTTCCTTTGGTCTTTGGGACTGAGAACTCGAAATCCATTTTTCCCGGAAACAAGTTGAAATGTGGACTCATCTGAGCACAGCACACATTTCCACTGTCTTTTTGACTCTCTGAGATGAGCTCTGGCCCAGAGAACCCAGCGGAATCACTGCATAGAATTGATGTATAGCTTTCTCATAGAGTAACAGAGATTCAAGTTGCATTTCTTGATGCAGCAGCAGACTGTGTTAAGTGACAGCAGTTTTCTGAAGTACTCCTGAGCCCATGTGGCTATATTTAACACAGCAGCATGACGGTTTCTTATACAATGCCATCTGAGGGCACAACGGTCAAGCACATTCAACTGAGGTTTCCTGCCTTGCCCTACATGTACTGTGATTTTTTTCACAATATTACGTGTGGTAGTTGGTGAAAGACCTAAATTCTTTGCAATTTTGCATTGTGAAATGTGATTTTAGATTATTTTTTTGAAACTTCTTTCATGAAATTTGGCATAAAGTGATGAGCCATGATCCAGCTTTGCTTGCAAAGACTGAGATGCTCCTTTTATACCCAAACATGATACCCTGACTTATTTCAAATTCACCTGCATACTGTGAACTGTTTCAAAACAGTTTAACGTTCTATAACCTTTTCACTTTTATTTTGCTTCTGTCCCAACTTTGTTGGAGTGTGTTACAGCCATTAAAATCAAAATTTGTTGTATATATATATAGAAAAAGAGTAACAGGATCAAGAAAGAGCCATGAGCATCGCCCGCAACGATGTTGCTGGATATATCGCAATGCCACGCACAATATGGCGCTGACTTGTTTGGATGTTTTACTGTGAAAAATATTCATATGTGTCAACACATGAAGTTCTGAAAGAAAAATCCTTAGGCGTACTGAATGAATGGTAAATTGTCGACTCAAGTGTAAGTAGAACTGTGAAAAATATTCATATGTGTCAACACATGAAGTTCTGAAAGAAAAATCCTTAGGCGTACTGAATGAATGGTAAATTGTCGACTCAAGTGTAAGTAGAACACGCACTATGTTCATTAGACAGCTCATATTGCTTTGTTTTGAATTGCTCTTGTCACTTAACATGGGCCAGGCATCATTTTACAGTTCAATTTAAAGCATAAAATGTGACAGCTCATGATTTTTACGTTTGGTGCTTGGAAAGTATTGATTTTATGGCCCTGTTTACGCTTCATATCTGTTATTACACATTAACATTTTTCTTGTTTCTTTACAGAGACAAATACTTAAAGCATTCCACCCCGAGGGTTCAATAACTGGATCTAATCGCAGGAAAATGTTTGGACCTTTTACTACAATCAGGATTGGGATCTCAGTGAGTATTGTCCAGAAAACATGGCAACAACAAACACTTAGCCTTAGTTTAACAAAGCTAAAAAAGTTTTCCTTTTATGATGAGCACATTTGAATAGAAGAAACTAAGGTCTCCAAGAGTACATTGAAGACAAGAAAACACTGAAACAGCAACAAACTAGTGCAGACAAAAAGAGACGAGAGACAACTTAAAATAGAGGGAGAAAGGTTACATTGTAGCTATATATTTTACTTAACAAGTCTATTGAAAATTATAATATTACTGCATATTGCTAGGCCAATTTCTACATTGTAATGGATTGTTTTACTCAGTGGACGCTTTAAATTAATCTACATTTATATATCCACATACAGGTGCATCTCAATAAATTAGAATGTCGTGGAAAATTTCATTTATTTCAGTAATTCAACTCAAATTGTGAAACTCCTGTATTAAATAAATTCAATGCACACAGACTGAAGTAGTTTAAGTCTTTG